ACGGAGCGGCGCGATCGTCGGCGCGCACCCCACGGCCGGGCATCTCCACGCCGCGCCGCACGCCGGGGAACCGCGAACGGAAGGGGCTGACCGGACGCGCGAGCTCCCGCGAATCCCGCCCCTTCCGGTACCTCCACCAACGGAGTCTGCACTTTGACGCGTGCGCAGTCGAGGGCGCTCGCGGGAGGGGTGGGGATGTGGGGCGGAATCGGCGTGAAAAGAGTGTGCGCATGCGTACTAGTTTTAGGCCAAAAATAAATAAATAAAAATTGCCCGGTTGTGGAGTTCGTGGATTTTCTGTAACGTCTCCTAGCGAATACGTTGTAAATAATAATAGTAGTACTTATAATAATAATAATGTTATTATATAAGTATTATATAATATTATAATATAATTTATTATTATTATAACAACAGCAACAATCATCATCATCTCGCTCTCACATGCAAATAGAGTATAGAAGTAATAACAGACAAGAGAGGAAGCTGCTGTGCTGATTTCAGACACACAATGCTGGCGTTAGGACAGTACAGAGTTAGACTGTAAGGCTTTTGACTCCTTGTGGTTAGGACTGCCACGTGAACTATATATAGCTTTAGATGGATTTTCGGTGAATTTTGGATGCTCTGTTACATACAACATCTCAGTCAAGTCTAGAAATAGGCGAGAGAGATGGATGAGCGCTTTCCAGCGCTTCTCGGTTTGACGCTCGGCCGAGAGGGGCGTCTATAGGGCGGCAGAGGTAGGACCCAGCCGTAGAGCAGGAGGGCAGCAGAGACTGACTGTCATTTGCTTAAGACTCGGATAATTTGATAAACTAGAAACCTTCACCCGTTCTGATCTCATGATCTGTAAGTCATTCCTCAGTAGTGTGCCTTACTCTGTGATCTTGCCATTTCTTTATTGATAACACTTCTTGGGTGCTTAACAGGTTTTTAACATCTCAGATTCTTTAGTGAGATGGCTAAAACTTGGGACGTGTTTGAAACGCACAGGTGAACTGGGGATGGAGACGACTCATCCGACTAAAGGCTGGTGCATCCTGGGTTAAGCCCATGGATGCCTCTTACTGGTGCTTTGAGTAAATCTCAAGAACTAGATGTACTTTTAATTTTTTTTCCTTCTCATTGATTTTCTTAAGAACGACTTTTCTGTTTCCGATGTGCGCATTCTTGCTAAGCTATTTCACAGTGGAAGCGATGGTGATTGGGAATATAGTTTCATAGTCTAACCATTTAGTGATATCTGCAAGATGGGTAACACCTGGTCGTTTTTTAGAAGCGATTGGTAGGTAATCCAGTTTGTCAGCCTCTTTGTGCCCATTGGGTGAGAGCAGCTCCTCCAACTCCGGCTGGTCAGTTACATCTATGTTTCTCTGTTTACCGTCAACCTGACGTTGAAGCCGTGAACTGAAGCCCTAAGGTCCCTCTGTGTGTCAATACATTAAAACACCTTACATCTCACTACGTGAATGTCAAATAATTTCCTACTTTGGAACATATTAATACTCACAATTTCTCTATTTTTATTAAATAAAAATAGACATCATCTTTATCCATTTTTTGTACATGTATACTGATCGCAGTCACACCCAACCCTACCCCACCCTGTCTACTGGCTCTGTTTCCCACGGATCTCTCCCATATTCAAAGGGTTATTTTGAAGACGAAAATACCAATATCTGCAAGTGCTAATTGTTCATCTCAGGCACACACTAAGGTATATCTAAGCTTGCTAAAAAGCTAACCAGAAACGATCCCAGTGGATTTTTACAAAACAGAAAGGTTCCGGGTTGTAGATTGGCCGGTTTATTTCATATTAAAGATACCTCTTCCTTTCCAGATATTTTCAACAAGGCTAGAGTGTCCATAGCTAATATAGAGGACTTTTGCTTGATGGGTGGCTTTTAATTAATTCTGATGGAGTAAGATAAAGTAGGAGCCTTTTGTGAGGTGACGGACTGAACCGGGCTGTTTTTAAGAAGCAGAACTAGCAGACCAAAGGTAATCTCAGTAAGGAGAAAGTGCTGGACATTGGGTAAGGTGGGAGGGGGTAGACATGGGATTAAAAAGGTGAAATGAAAGATAATACCACCGGCTTAGGAATTTTTTCGGACAGCAACAGAACCCAAGATACTGAATGTTGTTTAGCAGAGGAATGTTAGGGTCTGTGAAATAGACTACTGGGTCCTTATCAGAGGCATTAGGGGGAGGGTGCAGGAATTTTGCCAACAAAGTGTTTCAGTTCTTCAGCCAAAGAGGGAAATGTGCTAGTTACAGGCTAGAGAAGACTAAATCTTTCTCCTCGAGGTGATATTAGTTCTGAAGCCTAGCTCCAGCTGTGGAGTGTGAAGATAAAATACCCCTCTTCCTGCGGCCAATATCTCTTGAGGCTCTCCCGTAGAAGGACTGAGTAAATGTGGAATACAAAATTTAAAGATGCCCTCGCTCTCAGGGTCCTGACAGTGTGCACCTCCTTAAATTTTCATCCCGGATGCCTCGTGTCTTGCCCTTGTCTCCACTCTGCTCTCCTATCGGGGTAATTTGAGGGTTTCATTGTTGCTGATCGCGCCTCCCAATCAGAGTCACTTGTGAAAGTCACCAGTGCCAGATATGCCAGCTGCCCACGTCTGAGTCTCAGCATGCCTGACAGTTCTGAAAAGATCTATCAAAATTGCTTCACTTAGATTCCTGCTATACTGCTATCACTGTCTCCTTAGCTTCCCAACAACAAGGCCCGTGATTCACGAGTTTAGGTCTGTGTGACTGAAGTAGATTCGGTCATCTCTATAAATTGGCTCATACTACGTGGCTGTTAGGAAAAGCAGCTATGAAATGTTTACTCTCAGAGGAGTTACAAATGCCAAGTAGGCATTCGGATGCCTTTGGAACATGTAAAATGTGTTCTCCCGAGTGAAGGAGCAAAGAGAAAGTCTATCTAAATGATACATGATGATAGTTGCATACAAACTCAAGCGGTGTTTTTCCTTATAGATAATCCTTCTTCTAAGGCAGAATTGTTTATAACTACGGAGGTTTTTTAACCTAGTTCTGAATGTTTATAGTAATTAAATTTTATCGAAATGTGTTTACATCCAAATGCAATACTGCCTTGGGGGCATTAATTTTTTTCTTTATAAAGTAACTAGGTGCAAAACCTCTACTGCACTGGTACAGTGTAAGCAAGCAAGTTCTATCCGCTTACCTGTATTTGCCTGTGCATTCTGTTTGGTTTTAAAAAATATTGCTCTACAGTCGCTGTTAACTTTACCTAGAAAAACAAAACAAACATCCATGTGTTTGAATTCCAAATGATTTGACAGCAGAAGCTTTGTGTTGCAAGGCTAAAATTCAGTTTGGTACTACCAAAACTGGGCTTAGTGCTAGCTTAGTGCTATTATTGTAGGTATAGCTGTCACTATGCTGGGGCTTGGGCTGCTCAGGCCTCCTGACATGGTCATGGGATGGCTTTTGCAGGAGCAATGTCTACGGGGAGCAAAAGGCAAGGGAACAATGCTGAACAGCGAGAACATGGGAAACTTTGGAAAATCCAATGTCTTCCTAAGCTGCTGGCACTAGTATTTAAACTAGTTGTGATTTTATGGAGAACGGCTGGACAGAATGTACTGTGGTTTACATCAGCAGCTGGATTTTCAACGGAAAGGCATGTGGTAAAGAGATTAGTTCAATTAAAGAAATTTTTAAATTAGAATTAAGTATTTCTATTACATGAATCAAAAGACCCTGAGCCCTTTTAATTTATTGATTTCAGTAATTTTCATTCATAAATTTTGTTTTCTTGAAAACCAGAAGCGCTTACAAATTCTCTAAGTATAATAATAAAAATACCGTGACTCTTAAGGATTAGAAGGAAAGTTGTATATTATAGGAATAACTGGAAAGGAACCCATAGGAAAGGGTGTTCTTGCTGGAGATTAAAATCAGCCGTGTAGACAGTTTCTTCCATAGCTGAACACTGTTCATACAAACCCTGACGATCCAGCTGAGAACTGTGGAACACACTTGTATGGCAGTATTCAGCAGGCAGACACAGAAAGGTCTTTCCCTGGTCCATGTCTTGTTTGCCTTTTCAGTGAGCAGAGGTTTTCCACTCTGGTGGGGACCAGTTTCCCACCTATGTGCTTTATAAGGAATAAGGGACTTTAGGATTAAATCTAAAACACCGTCACAACACCTTTTCTCTTGCACATATAGAAGTGGGATACTTTGAGATTTCACATGTAGACTTGTATTTGAGATAACCAAAAAAACGCATTTCATTTGAGAGGACAGGCAAGAAATTCACACAGGACAAAAAGATTGTAATCTGGACAGACATTCAATATAATTATAAACAAAACGAAGTGACATTGCTTTAGAAATGAAGAGATACATCAATACACAGCCAGGAAGCTTCCAAAAGACTCTAATCTCTTTATTTCCTTTTCGCTGTTTGTCCCACGCTATCGTCTCAACAGCAAGAACGACGAAGGCACACTTAGAATCCTTCTGCAGAAAAGCTTTATTGCATCTTGAGAGAGAGAACATAAGCTTCCAAAGCGGAGACCCAGAATGAGGGGAACCCATCCCTTATATAGGAAACAGGCCTCGCCTAGGACGTGTCACTCCTGGATTGGTCTGCTGCCCATCAACCCAGATGACGCCTCGGGAGTAGGCGGGGACGCAGCAGTGGAAAATCACTAATTAGATGCACATTATCTTGTTCACCTGGCGGCGAAACTGGATGCCTGCAATGGAGAATGTGGTTGCGGCCCTCCACGGCTGTTGGCATAGAAATTGGCCCAAGCTAGTTTGTTTATAAGAGAGATGTGACGCTCTTGAAAATTCTTACCAGGATTTTGTGAATATCTAGGAAATTTGGTTGGACGGCAAAGGGTGAAAGGTATGGAGAAAGATAAATTACCTTCAAAAAGAAGGGACACATAGGCTTTAAAAAGCAAGAAGATTCATAGTCATCCTAAGAGTTTTAGTGAGGCTTAAACAACATGTGAGGTAGCAAGGTGTGCAGGTTTAGGGAAGGAGCCTGTTCAGAGGACAGACAGTCTGTACAGAAGACATCAGCTTGTGCAGAAGACAGACAGTCTGTGTATAAGACAGCAGCCTGTGCAGAAGACAGAAGCCTTGCAGAAGACAGCTTGTGCAGTCTTGGAGTCAGGAGGAAACTTGATTAATTGATGAGTAATGAAGCCAGTTAGTAAAAGTAGTTCATCA